CCTCAAAATGCGCTGCGTTGTCCGTTTACTCAGAACCGCAGAGAGTATTTGTATGTCCATTCGGCCGTGCTATAACTTGAGATCAGTCAAGGTTCAGGCTGAGTCGTTAATCTCTTGAACAAACTTGGTAGAAAAATGATGCGATAAGGTAAAATGACTGACAGGCCCAGCGAGGGGCTAAATCGAGTACCGGGCGGAAAAGTTCTTTTAGCACTACCTCTGAGTGAACCAACCTTTCCAACGTTATTCTTTATGCGCATCACGAAACTCCTATTACGACAACAGCAACATTCCTCGCATAATTTCGATTCTTCGAAAGCATAGTAGACCTGAAGTGGAGATAAATGAGTCTATCCAATAGTACGTGTCATAAATATATTATCCCTGTATATTGAGCATAAGTTTGGGATATCTAAGGGCATAAAATGGACCTCTTACCAGGTTCCCTCTAGGAGTTATTCGGGGTTCGAGACACTGGTACGCGAAAGAAGAGGAAACGAAACCAGTCTGTTCCATATGGGGATTAGGGCTGCTAGCTGCTGGATTATGTCGCACTCTGATACTAATAAGAAAAGCATCCTGGGTCGCAAAGGCTATTCGAGAAGAGATGTACACGCCCAGATGTGCTTTGCTAATCTCGAATCACCCTTTCAAATTTGTTTACCGATTTTCTGACGGGTTTATGAGGAAGAGGACAACGGTAGTGGTCGGAGCTCACAGTCAATATATTGTGGGATTAATCCCTTGGAGTGTTTACGGTTCCACTTTTCCGGAAACACAGCTAAAACGGCTTTTGACAGCCTATTTAGCTGTAGTGTAGAGAAAACAAAATAGAAAACACTATAGGAGGTTGTTCCCTGCACATACGTCGTAGCTGTGAATCCTGGCCACTACTGTTGCCCTCGTTTGCTTCATAACTCAGTTCAGAAAATCGTTTAGCAGATTTGAAGGTAGATTTGAGATCAGCGTTCAAAGGCACATCTGGGGTATACATCTCTTCTTGAATGGCCATGGCGACATAAGATCCTTTCGTTGTGAAGATGTAAAGAAAGCCGACAATGGTCAAACTACTGCATTACTCCAGCGAGGGCTGAGGGTACTGGCCCATCTTGGCGTTGCTTTACCCGTCCATGAATTGCGAAGAAAAAAACGAAAAATGGTGTAAGACTGACCCTTTCATTGTTCACCCATACGTCGTACCTCTTATTCGCATGGCAAACCTGAAATACACTATTGGAACCCTGGGGGAATGGTTCACTAGGACAGAAAGCGACTTTTCGCGTTTCGCAGCGCGAAACATTTTTCGCTGCAAGGAACCTCAGGTCCACTGATGATCAGCGGTGGACCTGAGGTTCCCGCAGCGAAAATGTTTCGCGCTGCGAAACGCGAAAAAAGAGAAAAACTCGCTTCTTGTCTAGGCCGATGTCAGACTTTGCGAATCGCGCGATTCGCTAGCGTCTGCGGTCGCGTCGCGGCCAGTGAATCACTCAATTGGCTGGTACCGCAACGCGACCGCGGACGCTAGCGAATCGCGCGAATCGCTAGTAGCGAATCGCGCGATTCGCAAAGTCTGACATCGGCCTTAGTGAGTCACACCCGAACTATAGCACCCTTGGTACCAAGGTTTCCAATAAGGTTATGGGCGGATCGCCCGTAACATTTTTGGGAACTTTGGTAAAGCTGGCGGCTGGCCAATAGCTCAGATCAAATGATAATATCGAAAACTAAATTTTATTGCTGTGAAGCCCAAATGATGAGCAAGCAATCATGCAATGAAGCGTCCATCTGCTGATTTGAAATTTGAAAAATAACCTCTCCCATGGAAAACCTGTTTTGAAAATTGGTCTCCCGTGGGGAAAATGGGTACGGGACGGTATACAAATGTCCAACCTTACGTATTATGAGTCTATCAGCTGTCTCCAGACATGCAAGCCCAGGTGGAGCACGCTCGGTTAATAGCGCTTGTTCCGGTTGTGAGCATTCTGTAATTTTCAGGAAGCTATTTTTGGTTCCAACACAGGCATGTAACAAAATATCAAGTTCACCTGAAAACCTTCCAATCTCGAGTTGACTGCCGACGATTTCGCTGACCTTTGATAATGCAGGCATTTCTATTCCAGGTTGCGTTGTTACGGTACCAGAGGGCATTGAAATACTGCATAACTCATAAACATGCGATTGATTCTCAGTCATTTGGCTTTGGTTGAATTGCGATAGCTCGTCTGTAATTGCACAAAGTGTTACGCCCTGAAACGTCCCCAAGGCACTTGGCCACCGAAAAACCTGTTTGCGCAGTCTCGTACATGCGTACTAAACATCCCTGCCTTCTTCCTTCTTTCAAAAGGCTTTTTAGCCTTAGTTTAACACAAAGCATCTGTAGTGCCAATCAAGAAATCCGTGAGCCAGAAGGAATGTCGGCAGTTCGGGGTGAAGGGTGAGATAAGTCGGTTGACGTGCGGAGCAAAATGGTGTGGTTCACTAGGACAGAAAGCGACTTTTTCGCGTTTCGCAGCGCGAAACATTTTTCGCTGCGGGAACCTCGGGTCCACTGATGATCAGCAGTGGACCTGAGGTTCCCGCAGCGAAAAATGGTCGCTTTCTGTCTCAGTGACCACGCCCATGTACCCTCCCCTTCAAAAAGCGGTTACAAGGCTTCTGTCAACCAGGGGGTGAGAGTGTAGAAGGAAAAGCAGACGTTCTTTGTGGTAGTGGGACTAAGCCTTTTGAAGGAGGTAAAGAAAGCGGAGATTCTGTAATAGTGCGCTTGTGTGAGAGCTCCCAGACAGCACAACAAAACGCTGAATTGCCTAGCCTCAGCGGTTGACAGATGTCCGGAAACCTCAAAAAGCGAGAAAGTGTCGGGTGCAGACCATGCACCACAAGTGACGACGGCCTTCACAAAATGTTAATGTTTTCTGCCAATGAAATGATTAGCCTGTTGCAGTTGTATTCTATCGATTGTCACTAATTACAACTATCATTTACCAGAAATCAGCTATCACTATGAACAACTTTAACCAGGTTTAGGCGCAATGTGGCTCGGGGGGGGCAGCCGCCGCGCGCGGCGTTGCGGCAACAGGAAATTCGTGAGCCAGGGGGAATGTAGCCAATTCAGGGGGTTGGGGGTGAGGGCAGTCACTTAGCATGCGTGAGAAGCTGAAATGTTCCGTGAGAAAGCTGGAATGTTCGAGTTACACTACATCGCTGAGCCGCGCGCGGCGACTGCTCCCCCCTGAGCCACATTGCGCCCCAGATTTACTTAAAAGCCGTCGTCAGGTGGGGTGTTTGGTCTGCACCCGACACTTTCTCGCCGACTTAAAAGGGGCTTAACGGCTGGCTCTCAAATCTTTGCGCGGTTGCGTCGCGTGCGGACGGTGGCGACGAATTAAAATGTAACGGATCGCCAAAGTGCCAATGGCACGATTCATGAAACGGTAAAACGGCAAGGAATATACGGATGCTCAACCTTAATCTAGGGGAGGAGGGGGGTACCGCGGCTTAGTCCGCCCGATGCGCGCGCATTTCGAAAACTGCCGCCGCGTGGCGAGCCGAGAATAGTTCTCTAGCCCTTTGGACTAACCCTTACCATTAGAGGAGCAGACGAACAGAGCGTCGTGCCACTGCGTGGTCCCCCCCCCCAACCCACTTAGCACCGAATAACTTATACAAAGAACTAAACGACAAAAGGCATGAACAAGGCAAAGGTACAACAATGATGGTAAGAACATGACCTCGGTAGGCAAGGGCGTCGCCCCGGTCGACGGACTACTTGGACTGTCCCTTTAACCCTTTCCGGACCGCCTGACACACATGGTGTGTCAGGAACTTCAAGAGCTGATTTTTCCAAGAGTTTGGTTTTTCGATAAAATATTTTATGTTGTTACATACCTATGTAACAGACTCATGCCATATGTATGAAAAAACCTAGACTTTAGGTTTAATCTAGGTTCTAAAATAACCAAAGAGTAAATGGACTTCCACTTTGGGCTCAAAGAAAACAGTTGTAGTTCGCTTGAAAACACTTAAAAACGAAGAATTTGTGAAATATCCTGCTCGTCGTATCTGATTCTTATGGATCCAATCGTTTTGGGCACGTTCTACTCCCCCTTTTTCTCCATACCAACTTATTTTGAACAATTTTCGTCCCTTCCTCCCTTTTTATGGCCCTTTCCCTTTTTTTGCAAAACAGTTTTCTGTCAAATTAATCTTATATATTCTTCGAGACATGACAAAGACATAAACGAGACAAAATAATGGCTTTAGTGGGAATACAGATTAAATATATGATATTTATGCTTGCCGCGCAGCATGCGGCCGTGAGCGCAAAAAGTGCGCGGTCCGGAAAGGGTTAATGGCCGTCAATTCACTTTCTCGTCTGCGCTCTCTCGCCTTATCAGCTTCTAATGATCACAATAACCCTCACACACGAACTTTTGCCCGTAGTTGGCTCACCCACCTCGGAGTCCCTCCTGCCTGCAAGGTTCAGTCCTGGTTTTTCCTTCTTGGGATTTCTAGGCCGAACCAGGCGTCCGTTCTCACCGACGCGTCCTGTGCTCAAGCAATAGGATGTAGTCCATCGGGCCAAACAAATATGAGCATCTCAGGCTAGCCGCTGACCGCACAATTTTGAGTAGCCACGTTTCTTAGTCACAATAAATTTAGTGAGAAATTATGCGCCAAGTTCTACTATGAACAAAACATACTGGCATCGAGGTTACCTGGTGCCACTTTGGTGCCAGTTTGGTCTATTGGCGCCAGTTTGGTGCCATTTTGGTTTAAACTACCACCGTGCTCGTGCAGGCGCCAATGTAGCCGTCATACTCCTTTACCCGATCTTAATGGCTCCACAAGGAGCTCGGCGAAAAATAAGGAGCTAAGTGAGTTGGAGGGGGTGAGGGCAGGGGCATCTCTCAAGCGCGTTGGCACTGAGCCTGACTAGGAAGGAGTGGATCAGCTGTGAACAGTGTGATTTGTGATTTTGCAGAATCAACTCTTGGCACTTTTGAGCCCCTTCTTATGGACAGGCCTAATACCATACGATTTGAGGCGCCGCATGATCCCTCCAACTCACTTAGCATCGAAAATAGTATTTTATTGGTTTCCCAATAGGGCTATAAGAGTAGTGAGTTTACGTAAGTAGATAAAATAGCTTATTTGAAGAGGAGGAAATAACACCTCCTGACCTGCCTTTTAGTGAACTAAAACCATCACTAACTTACCAAACGAAAGGAAGCGGCGGTGCTGATATGTGTGTGAATGAATAACCTCCGTTGTCAAATCGCGCGGGCCATGCTACAGTAATCGTTTCTTTGGGTCCTGCATAGATCCCTTGCGCCATACGTCTGTTTATCGCTTCAACATGCTAGTATTTTCTGCTATTTTCTTTTCTATTTTCCTCAACACAGTGTGGGCTCAACCCTCATTTGTTTTTGCCACACGACAGATGGGTCCTCAGAGTCCCCTTCCCCAACGTCCCCATCCTCGGGTTTCCGCCGGTCCCGGTTCCATGTGTCCGCTGAAGACAACCCAACGACATTCATTTTGTTCAGGAAATCTATCTAGCCAAGTTAGGGCGCATTTATAGTCGGTCGCCCGATCGTAACGATCGATCGCATAAGCCGCGATCGCATAGGAGACGCGACGCGGCGACTCAATGCAAACCCAAACGACACGCGACTGTGCGTCGGTATTTCAAAAGTTCGATTGTTCGGGTGTGGAGTAATAAATGCATACCCATCGTGCGACATCGACGTCAAACGATCGATACGTATTTAATGCAGTGCGATCGTTAGTTACGATCGGACGACCAACAGTGAATGCGCCCTTAGTTGATTGTCTGCATGGGTATTGATTACGCGTCACACTTACGTTTAGTAGGGAATTGATCCGCGCGGCGCTTCTT